AAAATGAATTGCTTTTTCTTTGGAGAAATTTAAGGCGAATTGTTTTTTTCTTTAGAAAAATTTAAAGCGAATTGATATTTCTGTAGAAAAATTTAGGGCGAATTAATTTTTCTTTAGAAAAATTCAAGGCGAATTGATTTTTCTTTAGACGACTTTATTTCTCAATAGAAAAATTTATTGAAAATTGACTTTTCCTTAGAAAAATTTAAAGATAATTAGTTGTCTTTAGTTTTCTTTAAAAAAAATTAAGGCGAATTGATTTTTGTTTAGAAAAAATTTAGTATCGATTATTAGAAATATTTAAGGCGAATTGATTTTTCTTTAAAAGAAATTGAGCGAGATGATTTTTACTTAAAAATATTTAAGGCGAATTGTGGCAAATTGATTTTGCTATGGAAAATTTTGCGGCGAACTAATTTTTCTTTTAAAAAATTAAGTTTTATATGGAAGCAATGGCTGCGAATTAATTTTTCTGTGGAAAAAATTGCGGCGAAATGACTTTTTGATAAAAAAGTTTTGGGGCGAATTGATTTATCTTTAGAAAATTTGCGGCGAATTACTTTTTCTTGTGAAAATTTTACTTCGAATTGATTTTTCTTTACAAAAACTCTTGCAATTTTACAATAAAGTGAATTTTTATTAAAACAACTTACGACGAAGGGATTTTTTCTCTAGTAAATTTGATTTTTCTATAGAAATATGTGCGTTAATTTGATATCGTTAAGAAACAGTTACAGCGAATAGATTTTCTCAGGAAAAATTTTCAAAATTGTTGTTGAAAGTGGTTTTAAAAAAATTTCTTAATTAACAAAGATAGCCTTACCCCTTAGAAAACAGTTTAAAACATGAACATAATACACGTTTAAAATGTGTACTTACCTTTCTTAAGCAGTAAAATACATACAAACAGATACATGCACACATATTTGTGTATTAAAGAGAGTGCACGAGAAAAATATTTTCTAAATTAGATTCATTTGAAAGGATGAGGAAAAAATTTTAAACTGTTTTTTTATTATGAAGATAAATATGAGTTATTAAATGTTTGAAAAACTTTTTTCATGTTTAGTCTTTCTACTTTCGTCTTGTACGTTTCGTATGCTCATTAGTATTTTCAGTGGCAGGTTTGTGCTTTTTTTCTCTTAATTCTTTAACATAGTAACGTAGTTTTTTCAACATCTTGTACTACATTTTCCACATTGTTGAATTTTAAAAAGGAAATTTTGTATAATTCTATGTTTTATTAACACACGGGCATAAAATTTATTCTATAGTAAGGATATTGTATACTTGAAGAATTTTTAAAAATTATTTATATATTCCAAATAAAAATGTAGAAATATGTGATGGCTGCTTGTTGTTAAAGCTGACTGAATTTTTTTAGAAATTTTCTTTTGTAGATTTCTTTTTGTAATAAATGTAAAAATAAAGTGAATAATCTGTTAATACAAAAAGGTTCTTTTCCAAATTGCTTGTTTTATCGCTAAAGTACTTATTTTTTTAAGAGATTTGTGGCTCATTTTTGTTAAATAAAATTATATTTTGTATAAAATGAAGGATTTTCCTTAAAAAATTTTAGTATTAATTGATTTCTTTAAAAGATTAGTTTGATGCAGACAAAACTTCTAACTGGACTATACTTATATGTAGAATAGACTATAGACTAGACTATAGACTAGACTATAGACTAGACTATGGACTAGACTATGGACTAGACTATAGACTAGACTATAGAGTAGACTATAGACTAGACTATAGACTAGACTATACACTAGACTATAGCCTAGACTATAGACTAGACTATAGACTAGACTATACACTAGACTATAGACTAGACTATAGACTAGACTATAGACTAGACTATAGACCAGACTATTGAATAGACTATAGACTAGAAAATAGGCTATACTATAGACTAGACTATAGACTAGACTTTAGACTAGACTATAGACTAGACAATAGACTAGACTATAGACTAGACAATAGACTATACTATAGACTATACTACAGACTAGACTACAGACTAGACTATAGACTAGACTATAGACTAGACTATGGACTAGAGTATGGACTAGACTATAGACTAGACTATAGACTAGACTATAGACTAGACTATAGACTAGACTATAGACTAGCCTATAGACTAGGCTATAGACTGGACTATAGACTAGACTATAGCCTAGACTATAGACTAGACTATAGACTAGACTATAGACTAGACTATAGACTAGACTATAGACTAGACTATAGACTAGACTATAGACTAGACTATAGACTAGACTATAGACTAGACTATAGACTAGACTATAGACTAGACTATAGACTAGACTATAGACTAGATTATAGACTAGACTATAGACTAGACTATAGACTAGACTATAGACTAGACTATAGACTTAGACTATAGACTAGACTAATAGACCAGACTATAGACTAAGAGAAGACTATAGACTAGACTATAGACTAGACTATAGACTAGACTAGACAAGACTATAGACTAGACTAGACTATGACTAGACTGATAGACTAGACTATAGACTAGACTATAGACTAGACTATAGACTGACTATAGACTAGACTATAGACTAGACTATAGACTAGACTTAGACTAGACTATAGACTAGACTATAGACTAGACTATAGACTAGACTATGACTAGACTATAGACTAGACTATAGGACTAGACTATAGACTAGACTATAGACTAGACTATAGACTAGACTATAGACTAGACTATAGACTAGACTATAGACTAGACTATAGACTAGACTATAGACTAGACTATAGACTAGACTATAGACTAGACTATAGACTAGACTTATGACTAGACTATAGACTAGACTATAGACTAGACTATAGACTAGACTATGACTAGACTATAGACTAGACTATAGACTAGACTATAGACTAGACTATAGACTAGACTATAGACTAGACTATAGACTAGACTATAGACTAGACTATAGACTAGACTATAGACTAGACTATAGACTAGACTATAGACTAGACTATAGACTAGACTATAGACTAGACTATAGACTAGACTATAGACTAGACTATAGACTAGACTATAGACTAGACTATAGACTAGACTATAGACTAGACTATAGACTAGACTAGACTAGACTATAGACTAGACTATAGACTAGACTATTGACTAGACTATAGATTAGACTATAGACTAGACTATAGACTAGACTATAGACTAGACTATAACTAGACTATAGACTAGACTATAGACTAGACTATAGACTAGACTATAGACTAGACTATAGACTAGACTATAGACTAGACATAGACTAGACTATAGACCAGACTATAGACTAAACTAAAGACTAGACTCTAGACAAGACTATAGACTAGACTATAGACTAGACTATAGACTAGACTATAGACTAGACTATAGACTAGACTATAGACTAGACTATAGACCAGACTATAGACTAGACTATAGACTAGACTAGACTAGACTAGACTATAGACTAGACTATAGACTAGACTATAGACTAGACTATAGACTAGACTATAGACTAGACTATAGACTAGACTATAGACTATACTAGACTAGACTACAGACTATACTATAGACTATACTAGACTAGACTATAGACTAGACTAGACTATAGACTAGACTAGACTAGACTACAGACTATACTATAGACTATACTAGACTAGACTACAGACTATACTATAGACTATACTAGACTAGACTATAGACTAGACTAGACTATAGACTAGACTAGACTATAGACTAGACTATAGACTAGACTAGACTACAGACTATACTATAGACTATACTAGACTAGACTATAGACTATAGACTAGACTATAGACTAGACTATAGACTAGACTAGACTATATACTAGACTATGGACTAGGCTATAGACTAAACTATAGACTAGTCTATAGACTAGACTATAAACTAGTCTATAGACTAGACTATAGACTAGTCTATAGACTTGACTATGGACTAGACAATAGACTAGACAATAGACTAGACAATAGACTAGACTATAGACTAGACTATGGACTAGACAATAGACTAGACTATAAACTAGACTATACACTAGACTATAGACTAGAAAATAGGCTAAATTATAGACTATACTATAGACTAAAAAATAGGCTAAATTATAGACTATACTGTAAACTAGACTATAGACTAGACTATAGACTAAACTATAGACTAGACTATAGACTAGACTATAGACTAGACTATAGACTAGACTATAGACTAGACTATAGATTAGACTATAGACTAGACTAGAGTATAGACTAGACTATAGACTAGACTAGACTATAGACTACACTATAGACTAGACTATAACTATACTATGGACTAGGCTATAGACTAGACTATAGACTAGACTATAGACTAGACTATAGACTAGACTATAGACTATAGACTAGACTATAGACTAGACTAGACTATAGACTAGACTATAGACTAGACTATAGACTAGACTATAGACTAGACTATAGACTAGACTATAGACTAGACTATAGACTATAGATTAGACTATAGATTAGACTAGATTAGACTAGACTAGACTATAGACTAGACTATAGACTAGACTATAGACTAGACTATAGACTAGACTATAGACTAGATTTGACTATATGCTAGACTATATACTAGCCTATATACTAGGCAATAGACTAGACAATAGACTAGACTAATACTATAAACTATACCACAACCAACCAACCATACCACATATTTAAGAGATTACTAATTGATTTATTTAAAAAAAATTGTTCCTAAACCATTTATTTGAAAAACTTTAGTTTAAGTTTGACTTATTTTATGCTTAATTTTTTTACAATAATTTTATTTATATATTTTTTTATATTTTTCTCTATTTTCATAAAACACCTTTAAACTACATTTTCTTATTATTGATGTTGTCTATCTATCTATCAATCACAAAATCAAACACTTACACCACCAAATCCTTACAATTGTTGTACACCACCACCATCACAAACAAATCAAACAGGAAAACTAGCAGCTACACAATGGCGTACACGTTTTGGTCGTTTATCTAAAGTACCCGCTTTGGGTGAAGTAGATCCCACCGGATCATTTTGTGCCTTTCCAGATGATTGGTTGAAGAAGAAAGCCGGTAAAATACAAATAAACTTACAAACTATTTAATTTTTTTTTAATTAACAACACTAACAATTAGACAAATAAGGCCTAAAACTACCCTAAACCAAAGAAAAAAATATACCAAAACTAAACAAAACTTGTAATTTATTATACTCTAAAAAAAATTCTATAAAACCTTTTGTTGTTAACAATTTTTTAACGTTTTTTCATGTTTTCGTTTATTTTATGAAACTTTTTTTAATTAAAGCGGAAAAAGCTGCCAATCCCTCTAGTTCGGATTTATGGAAAAGTAAGTAAAACAACTGAAATGATGAAAGTCTATATAACGTTACAATTTATGAGTTCTTTTTGTATTTTTTCCCAATAGTATTCTTTGTAAATGCTGTACCATTTGTGGGTTTCGGTTTCCTAGACAATTTCACCATGATTATTGCGGTAAGTTTGTCTCAAACTAAGTTTTCTATAAAAAACTTGTTCAGTTTAATTTTTCATTAAAAATCATCTCTACGCTAGGCTATATACTAGACTATAGCATATACTATAGACTAGACTATGCACTAGACTATAAACTTGACTATAGACTAGACTATAGACTAGACTATAGACTAGACTATAGACTAGACTATAGACTAGACTATAGACTAGACTATAGACTAGACTATAGACTAGACTATAGACTAGACTATAGACTAGACTATAGACTAGACTATAGACTAGACTATAGACTAGACTATAGACTAGACTATAGACTAGACTATAGACTAGACTATAGACTAGACTATAGACTAGACTATAGACTAGACTATAGACAAGACTATAGAATAGACTATATACTAGACTAAAGACTAGACTATAGACTAGACTTAACACTAGACTATAGACTAGACTTAACACTAGACTATAGACTAGACTATACATTAGACTATAGACTAGACTATAGACTAGACTATAGACTAGACTATAGACTAGACTATAGACTAGACTATAGACTAGACTATAGACTAGACTATAGACTAGACTATAGACTAGACTATAGACTAGACGATAGACTAGACTATGACTAGACTATAGACTAGACTATAGACTAGACTATAACTAGACTATAGACTAGACTATAGACTAGACTATAGACTAGACTATAGACTAGACTATAGACTAGACTAGAGACTAGACTATAGACTAGACTATAGACTAGACTATAGACGAGAGACTATAGACTAGACTATAGACTAGACTATAGACTAGACTATAGACTAGACTATAGACTAGACTATAGACTAGACTATAGACTAGACTATAGACTAGACTATAGACTAGACTATAGACAAGACTATAGAATAGACTATATACTAGACTAAAGACTAGACTATAGACTAGACTTAACACTAGACTATAGACTAGACTTAACACTAGACTATAGACTAGACTATACATTAGACTATAGACTAGACTATAGACTAGACTATAGACTAGACTATAGACTAGACTATAGACTAGACTATAGACTAGACTATAGACTAGACTATAGACTAGACTATAGACTAGACTATAGACTAGACTATAGACTAGACTATAGACTAGACTATAGACTAGACTATAGACTAGACTATAGACTAGACTATAGACTAGACTATAGACTAGACTATAGACTAGACTATAGACTAGACTATAGACTAGACTATAGACTAGACTATAGACTAGACTATAGACTAGACTATAGACTAGACTATAGACTAGACTATAGACTAGACTATAGACTAGACTATAGACTAGACTATAGACTAGACTATAGACTAGACTATAGACTAGACTATAGACTAGACTATAGACTAGACTATAGACTAGACTATAGACTAGACTATAGACTAGACTATAGAATAGACTATATACTAGACTAAAGACTAGACTATAGACTAGACTTAACACTAGACTATAGACTAGACTTAACACTAGACTATAGACTAGACTATACATTAGACTATAGACTAGACTATAGACTAGACTATAGACTAGACTATAGACTAGACTATAGACTAGACTATAGACTAGACTATAGACTAGACTATAGACTAGACTATAGACTAGACTATAGACTAGACTATAGACTAGACTATAGACTAGACTATAGACTAGACTATAGACTAGACTATAGACTAGACTATAGACTAGACTATAGACTAGACTATAGACTAGACTATAGACTAGACTATAGACTAGACTATAGACTAGACTATAGACTAGACTATAGACTAGACTATAGACTAGACTATAGACTAGACTATAGACTAGACTATAGACTAGACTATAGACTAGACTATAGACTAGACTATAGACTAGTAGACTAGACTATAGACAAGACTATAGAATAGACTATATACTAGACTAAAGACTAGACTATAGACTAGACTTAACACTAGACTATAGACTAGACTTAACACTAGACTATAGACTAGACTATACATTAGACTATAGACTAGACTATAGACTAGACTATAGACTAGACTATAGACTAGACTATAGACTAGACTATAGACTAGACTATAGACTAGACTATAGACTAGACTATAGACTAGACTATAGACTAGACTATAGACTAGACTATAGACTAGACTATAGACTAGACTATAGACTAGACTATAGACTAGACTATAGACTAGACTATAGACTAGACTATAGACTAGACTATAGACTAGACTATAGACTAGACTATAGACTAGACTATAGACTAGACTATAGACTAGACTATAGACTAGACTATAGACTAGACTATAGACTAGACTATAGACTAGACTATAGACTAGACTATAGACAAGACTATAGAATAGACTATATACTAGACTAAAGACTAGACTATAGACTAGACTTAACACTAGACTATAGACTAGACTTAACACTAGACTATAGACTAGACTATACATTAGACTATAGACTAGACTATACATTAGACTATAGACTAGACTATAGACTAGACTACAGACTAGACTATAGACTAGACTATAGACTAGACTATGGACTAGAGTATGGACTAGACTATACATTAGACTATAGACTAGACTATAGACTAGACTATAGACTAGACTATAGACTAGACTATAGACTAGACTATAGACTAGACTATAGACTAGACTATAGACTAGACTATAGACTAGACTATAGACTAGACTATAGACTAGACTATAGACTAGACTATAGACTAGACTATAGACTAGACTATAGACTAGACTATAGACTAGACTATAGACTAGACTATAGACTAGACTATAGACTAGACTATAGACTAGACTATAGACTAGACTATAGACTAGACTATAGACTAGACTATAGACTAGATATAGACTAGACTATAGACTAGACTATAGACTAGACTATAGACATAGACTATAGAATAGACTATATACTAGACTAAAGACTAGACTATAGACTAGACTTAACACTAGACTATAGACTAGACTTAACACTAGACTATAGACTAGACTATACATTAGACTATAGACTAGACTATACATTAGACTATAGACTAGACTATAGACTAGACTATAGACTAGACTATAGACTAGACTATAGACTAGACTATAGACTAGACTATAGACTAGACTATAGACTAGACTATAGACTAGACTATAGCCTAGACTATAAACTAGACTATAGACTAGACTATAGACTAGACTATCGAATAGGCTATATGCTAGACTATAGACTAGAATATAGACAAGACTATAGACTAGACTAAAGACTAGATTATAGAATAGACTATAGGCTAGACCAGCGGTTCCCACCATTTTTTACTTCGCGGACCCCTTGAGAAATTTATTAATTTCACGGACCCCCATACATATTTTGATATCTTATTGTTATAAATAATTGTTCATCAGAAAATTCTCTTAGTCCTGGTCCATAAACCCTATAAAATATTCCCGTACATTGAGAATATTTAGTATTTCGGAGATGTTTTCAATTGCATGGTTTTAAATATAGAATGACTTCTAACATGATGTTTAATTTTATGATCATGAGAGCTTTCATGTTCATTTCTCTTTATAAAGTATTGTCGACATGTGCTTAAAGAGTCATGTTTCTAAATTTGTTTGCGATTGCATAGGAGTGAGCTGAGTATGTAAGCTAAGTTTTCAGGAAAATACGTGAAAGTTAGACTTCTTCGATGTTGTTGCGGAATGCGTTACCCACATAAAATATGACCTGAACTCTTTGCGAATGTACTGTGAATTTGGATCTTAAATTTGAATTTTAAAATACCTACGAATTATTTTACTGCGTGGTTTTGACTATTTACGCAAACCGCTATGAACTTTCTGATGTTGATTTAATAATATTGGACAACAAAATGAAGTTAAAATCTGTGTATCACGTCGGAATGGAATATTTATATTTAAAATTAACTAGATTAACAGTTTTGCTTACAATTTAAAAAAATATTATGAAATGTGACCTAACTTCATATTCCGGGATACCAGTATCAGTATTTAATTCTAAGGCAAATCATTATCAGTCTGATATAAAAACATTTATTTCGATACATATACATTTATAAAAATTACAAATCACGTAATATTTTACTTCATAAAAGTGAAACAATAAATTTGTAGGGCCTAGCATCATCCTGATAAACGACCGAAACAATAAAATTCAAAAAGTCACCAACAAATCTGGGATTATTGAATAAAAATTGTGTATTTTAGTATTAATGAAAAATTTGGAGATATTTTTAATATTTTCTAACATATAGAGAATATTTTTTATTTATGATTTTTTTCGTTCGTCTTCGCGGACCCCCTAGGATTTTGCTACGGACCACTAGGGGTCCGCGGACCCCCTTTTGGGAACCGTTGGGCTAGACTATAGACTAGACTATAGACCAGACTATGGACCAGACTACAGACTAGACTTTAGAATAGACTATAGACCAGACTATAGACTAGACCTTAGACTACACTGTAGACTAGAATATAGACTAGACTATAGACTAGACTATAGACTAGACTATAGACTAGACTAGACTATAGACTAGACTATAGACTAGACTATAGACTAGACTATAGACTAGACTATAGACTAGACTATAGACTAGACTATAGACTAGACTAGACTATAGACTAGACTATAGACTAGACTAGACTATAGACTAGACTATAGACTAGATAATAGACTAGACTATAGACTAGACTATAGACTAGACTATAGACTAGACTATAGACTAGACTATAGACTAGACTATAGACTAGACTATAGACTAGACTACAGACCAGACTATAGACTAGACCATGGAGTAGGCTATAGACTAGACTATAGACTAGACTATAGACTAGACTATAGACTAGACTATAGACTACTATAGACTAGACTATAGACTAGACTAGACTAGACTAGACTAGACTATAGACTAGACTATAGACTAGACTAACTAGACTAGACTAGACTAGACTAGACTAGACTATAGACTAGACTATGACTAGACTATAGACTAGACTAGACTAGACTATAGACTAGACTAGACTAGACTAGACTATGACTAGACTAGACTAGACTAGACTAGACTAGACTAGACTAGACTATAGACTAGACTAGACTAGACTAGACTAGACTATAGACTAGACTATAGACTAGACTATAGACTAGACTATAGACTAGACTAGACTAGACTATAGACTAGACTATAGACTAGACTATAGACTAGACTATAGACTAGACTATAGACTAGACTATAGACTAGACTATAGACTAGACTATAGACTAGACTATAGGACTAGACTATAGACTAGACTATAGACTAGACTATAGACTAGACTATAGACTAGACTATAGACTAGACTATAGACTAGACTATAGACTAGACTATAGACTAGACTATAGACTAGACTATAGACTAGACTATAGACTAGACTATAGACTAGACTATAGACTAGACTATAGACTAGACTATAGACTAGACTATAGACTAGACTATAGACTAGACTATAGACTAGACTATAGACTAGACTATAGACTAGACTATAGACTAGACTATAGACTAGACTATAGACTAGACTATAGACTAGACTATAGACTAGACTATAGACTAGACTATAGACTAGACTAGACTAGACCAGACTATAGACTAGACTAGACTATAGACTAGACTAGACTATAGACTAGACTATAGACTAGACTATAGACTAGACTATAGACTAGACTATAGACTAGACTATTGACTAGACTGTAGACTAGACTATGGACTAGACTATAGACTAGACTATAGACTAGACTAAAGACTAGACTTTAGATTAGACTATAGACTAGACTATAGACTAGACTTTAGATTAGACTATAGACTAGACTATAGTCTAGACTATAGACCAGACTATAGACTAGAATATAGACTAAAATATAGAATAGACTATAGACAAGACTATAGACTAGATTTTTGACTGGACTATAGACAAGACTTTAGACTATACTATTGACTGGGCTATAGACTAGACTGTAGACTAAGCTATATACTAGACTATACACTAAACAATAGACTAGTTCCAAAATTTAGTTGCAAACCAAATTTTCTTTAATTTTTTTTTTATTTAAACAAAAATTTGTGCCAATTTGTTTACGAAAAATTTGTCAAAAATTATGTCCCAAATTAAAATTTTTGTAATATTTTCTTTTGTAGGGCGACTATATTGAACACATATTTGGCACTTTCATGTGTATATCCACAATGGCAGCAGCTGGTTTGGGCAATACCATAAGTGATGTGCTGGGCATAGGTTCCGCTTACTATGTAGAACGAGGTTGTGAATATTTGGGTTTAAAACCACCCGATCTAACACCCATACAAATGGAAATGAAATCTAGTCGTAGAGCAGCAAATTATGTAAGTTTTTTTAAGTACTTTTTTTAATAAAATATTTTAAAAATAATTTCTTGCAAAAACAAAAACTTTAGGGTCGTATTATTGGTATTACGGTTGGTTGTTTAGTAGGTATGTTCCCCTTATTGTTTATGGATCGCAAAGCCATCGAAGATGAACGCAAAGAAGAAGAACGTTTAAAAAAGGAGGAGGAGGAAAAACTCAAGAATACAGAAGCTAATTTAGTAACGGCTCAATAGATTTTAAATGAAAACTCTTAAGTGTTGTTTATTAATTTTTTTTTTAAATTATTTTTCTTTAAAATTTCTTTTTAAGTTTTTGTTATAATTTTATGTGTAAAACTCAACGATTTAAGTAGACGAAAAGTTAAAAAAACGCATAAGCAATAAAACGATTTTATTTTTAAGAATTTATTAACTTAAATATTCTTAATTTTTAACTACCTCTATTTTTTTTTAGTAAAAACAATTTTGGTGTGTAATTTTATTTTTAATTTCAATAATAATTTGTATTAATTTTTTTACAAAAATTATCTTTTTAGTTTGTTTAATCATTCTCAGTAGATTTCTATTCAAAAAAAACTAATTTTTCACTAAATGTACCTTTTTATCAAACCATTTATTTAATTTTATAAAATCTTTACTAATAAACATTTTAATTTCTTTTTTTTTACAAATTTTCCTTAAAATCTATTTTAACACCGTCCACTTTTTTACTTAAAATCAATAAAAAACTGCCCTAAAATTTGAAAAATTTAAAATTCTAAAAAACACAATCTTTACTAATAGAAGAATAACAATTCAGCTAGCTGAGTATCAGATTTTACAGTTTAGTTAACTTTTATTGATTTCTTAATGTTTAAAAACTTATTCAGCTAGCTGAATAGTTAAAACCAAGCAATTTTTGCTATATAATCAATTTTTCAGCTATATTTTTCGTTTAAAATCAAAATTAGCTAGTTGAATAGTAAAAATTAAGTAATTTTCTCAACAAAACTGTATTTTTCAGCTATATTTTGTGTTTAAAATCAAATTCAGCTAGCTGAATAGTAAAAATAAAGTAATTTTCTTAACAAAACAAAACTTTTATTTATATTCAGCTAGCTGAATTGCAACATAGTTTAACATTAACATAGTTTATGAAAAAATACAATTTTTAACCAATCTAACTGCTTCGTTACTAATTCAGCTAGCTGAATTGCTTAAAAAGGCATAATATTACTATTTTCAATAATTTTATTTGTTGAAAAACAAATTCAGCTAGCTGAATTGGTAAAATTAAATTTCTTTTTATTATAACAACTCATTTTCAGCTATTTTATTTATTATAAGACTTATTCAGCTAGCTGAATCGCAACAATAAAATAATGTAATACCAAATCACAACAAGTTTTATAACAAAATTTAATTACCAGCTAGTTTAGATGTTTAAAATCTGATTTAACTAGCTGAATATCAAAAACAAAACTTGTCTAACTGAAAAATTTTGTTTTTATTAGTTTTTTGAGCTTAAAAACTAATTCAGCTAGCTGAATAGTAAAAACCAAGGAATTTCCCTAACAAATCTTAATTTCCAGCTTTATTCTCTGTTTAAAAACTAATACAGCCAGCTGAATAGCAAAATCAGAACAATTTCCATAACTCAAATACAATTTTTAGTTATTTCAGTTAGCTGAATAGCAAAAATAATCAACTTTATTACATATTTAAAGACTAATTCAGCTAGCTGAATTGCTGCAACTAGTTATATTTTATGTCAAAATTTAATTTTCAGCTATTTTAGTAGCTTTAAGACTAATTCAGCTAGCTGAACTAGCAAAAATAAAGACTTTCTTTTGTTAAAACAACCAATTTATTTGTTTAACAACTAATTCAGCTAGCTGAATTGCAAAAAACTAAACATAATTTATGAAAAAAATTGAATTTTCAGCTTTTTTAATAGTTTTAAAACTAATTCAGCTAGCTGAATGAAGTAAATAAAGTAATTTTTTATTAAAACATAAAATTTTTCTCAATTTTTTTGTTTTTTTAACTTATACAGCTTGCTGCATGACAAAAACTAGACATTTTCAGCGATTTTAATAGCTTTAAGTCGTATTCAGCTAGCTGAATTGTAAAAATATCTTTTTTTCTGCCAATTTATATGTTTAGTAACTAATTCAGCAAGCTGAATTGCTTTATTTATTTTAAAATTCTAATTTCAGCTAGCTGAATACCTTAGTTTAATGATATAGTTAGCTGTATCAAGCTAAAATACTTTTTTAGTTGATTTTCTATCTATTTTCTTTTTATTTTAAATCTTTCTTAAAACTCTCTCATACTTTATCACTCACTAACATTTTCCTCTCGGCCTTTCTGTATTCCTCTCAAGTGCACTTTTTATATATGAACAAAACTTCAAAACTATGTATTACATTTAATTTAACTAAAATTTACACTTACATGATCTTCCAAATAAATAAATACCTAAATAAAATGTAATAATACTAAAGTACCTTTTAAAGCTATTTACTACAAAAAAAAAAAAAAAAAAAAAACAACAAATATTATATATTTAAATTAAAAAAAAAATAATAATAAAAAATATTGCCATTACAAAAAAAATTAGAATTTGAGTAGCGCCTCTAAGTTGATACAAATTTGAAACCCAAAATCAAGCACCAATAAATTGTATTTACTTTATTAGTTTAGAAAACAAAACATACATACTTTCGTATATATGTATTTAGTAAATTTAAGCCAACAAAGAGAAATTTAATTGGAATTTAAATCAAAAACTAACAAATAGTTTAAAAAAAGCAAATAAAAATCAAAGCATGCTTAGTATTAAAAACATTAAAAACAAGCAACAAATATTAATTAATTAAAAACATAAAGGTATTGAGGGTGAAATTTTGACTTCAACACCAATTTATTATTTAAATTGTTCAATTCTGTAATAATTTAATTAATTTCAAATCAAAACCTCATCCCTCGTATACCAACTGTTTAAAACAATAGCTTTATAATTATCATTCAATTAAATCAGTGTCAATGTTTTTTAGCTTAAACATAATTATAAAAAAATAACAAAAAAAAAACAACATAAAACCCATAAATTAGTTGTGTGTCTAAAATTAATTTAAACATAAGTCCAAATCTAGTGTGCATCAATAAAAATGTAGAGAAAATAATTAAAAAACCTTAAAACCCCATAAATTTCTTTATTGTTTCCTTTAAATTCTCACCGAAAGGTAAGTTTTCTAACAATTTATAAAAACGCCTAAAAGTATGCTTTAAGATTTCTTAATAACATAAAAATAGCGCCATCTATTGTTGGCTCTAACCTCCTCTCTATTTTGCAAAAATCGAGTTTTATCGGGTGGCATCTCAGCCACAAAAATTCGATGCCACTAGAGAAAATCATCTGGCAACACAGGCTAAAAACTCAAAAAATATTAATGCTGCCAGATCGTTTTTTATAGTGCGGTCAAAAATTTCAGCCTGTGCTGCCACCTGAGAAAATGTGATTTTTGCAAAATAGAAAAGACTTTATGTCCAACAATAGATGGCGCTAAGTTTATCTCATTTACGAAAACTAAGGCATATCTTAAGGCGCTTGCAGGAAATGTTTTACTAAACCAATATAAAGGACAGTAAACTCTATTAATGGTAAACAGGAGGAATAGATTCTAGACTACAGACTAGACAATAGACTAGACTATAGACTAAACTATAGACTACACTATAGACTACACTATAGACTAGACTATAGACTTGACTACAGACTAGACTATAGACTAGACTATAGACTTGACTATAGACTAGACTATAGATTAATATATAAACTAGACTATAGACTAGTATATAGGCTAGACTATAGAGTAATCTATATTCAAGACTATAGACTGGAATATAGACTACACTATAAACTAGAATATAAACTTTGCTAAATACTAGACTATAGCCTAGACTGTAAATTTAACTATAGACTATACTATAGACTAGACTATAGACTAGACTATAGACTAGACTATAGACTAGACTATAGACCAGACTATAGACTAGACTATAGACTAGACTATAGACTAGACTATAGACTAGACTATAGACTAGACTATAGACTAGACTATAGAATAGACTATAGACTAGACTATAGACTAGACTATAGAATAGACTATAGACTAGACTATAGACTAGACTATAGACTAGACTATAGACTAGACTATAGACTAGACTAGACTATGGACTAGACTATAGACTAGACTATAGACTAGACTATAGACTAGACTATAAACCAGACTATAGACTAGACTGTAAACTTAACTATACACTAGACTATAGATAAGGCTTTAGACTAGTATATAGATTAGACTATAGACTAGACTATAGACTAAACTAGGCTATAGACTATAGACTAGACTATAGACTAGACTATAGACTAGACTATAGACTAGACTATAGACTAGACTATAGACTAGACTATAGACTAGACTATAGACTAGACTATAGACTAGACTATAGACTATAGACTAGACTAGACTAGACTATAGATTAGACTAGAATAGACTATAGACTAGACTAGACTAGACTATATACTAGACTATAGACTAGACTATAGACTAGACTATAGACTAGACTATAGACTAGACTATAGACTAGACTATAGACTAGACTATAGACTAGACTATAGACTAGACTATAAACCAGACTATAAACCAGACTAGACTGTAAACTTAACTATACACTAGACTATAGATAAGGCTTTAGACTAGTATATAGATTAGACTATAGACTAGACTATAGACTAAACTAGGCTATAGACTAGACTATAGACTAGACTATAGACTAGACTATAGACTAGACTATAGACTAGACTATAGACTAGACTATAGACTAGACTATAGACTAGACTATAGACTAGACTATAGACTAGACTATAGACTAGACTATAGACTAGACTATAGACTAGACTATAGACTAGACTAGACTATGGACTAGACTATAGACTAGACTATAGACTAGACTATAGACTAGACTATAAACCAGACTATAGACTAGACTGTAAACTTAACTATACACTAGACTATAGATAAGGCTTTAGACTAGTATATAGATTAGACTATAGACTAGACTATAGACTAAACTAGGCTATAGACTATAGACTAGACTATAGACTAGACTATAGACTAGACTATAGACTAGACTATAGACTAGACTATAGACTAGACTATAGACTAGACTATAGACTAGACTATAGACTAGACTATAGACTAGACTATAGATTAGACTAGAATAGACTATAGACTAGACTATAGACTAGACTATATACTAGACTATAGACTAGACTATAGACTAGACTATAGACTAGACTATAGACTAGACTATAGACTAGACTATAGACTAGACTATAGACTAGACTATAGACTAGACTATAAACCAGACTATAAACCAGACTAGACTGTAAACTTAACTATACACTAGACTATAGATAAGGCTTTAGACTAGTATATAGATTAGACTATAGACTAGACTATAGACTAAACTAGGCTATAGACTAGACTATAGACTAGACTATAGACTAGGCTATAGACTAGACTATAGACTAGACTATAGACTAGACTATAGACTAGACTATAGACTAGACTATAGACTAGACTATAGACTAGACTATAGACTAGACTATAGACTAGACTATAGACTAGACTATAGACTAGACTATAGACTAGACTATAGACTAGACTATAGACTAGACTATAGACTAGACTATAGACTAGACTATAGACTAGACTATAGACTAGACTATAGACTAGACTATAGACTAGACTATAGACTAGACTATAGACTAGACTATAGACTAGACTATAGACTAGACTATAGACTAGACTATAGACTAGACTATAGACTAGACTAGACTATAGACTAGACTATAGACTAGACTAGACTAGACTATAGACTAGACTAGACTATAGACTAGACTATAGACTAGACTATAGATTAGACTAGAATAGACTATAGACTAGACTATAGACTAGACTATATACTAGACTATAGACTAGACTATAGACTAGACTATAGAGTAGACTATAGACTAGACTATATACTAGACTATAGACTAGACTATAGACTAGACTATAGAGTAGACTATAGACTAGACTAGACTATAGACTAGACTAGACTATAGACTAGACTAGACTACAGACTAGACTAGACTATAGACTAGACTAGACTACAGACTAGACTAGACTATAGACTAGACTAGACTATAGACTAGACTATAGACTAAAATATAGACTAGACTATAGACTAGACTATAGACTAGACTATAGACTAGACTATAGACTAGACTATAGACTAGACTATAGACTAGACAATAGACTAGACTATAGACTAGACTATAGACTAGACTATAGACTAGACTATAGACTAGACTATAGACTAGACTATAGACTAGATTATAGACTAGACTATAGACTAGACTATAGACTAGACTATAGACTAGACTATAGACTAGACTATAGACTAGATTATAGACTAGACTATAGACTAGACTACAGACTAGACTATAGACTAAACTATAGACTAGACTATAGACTAGACTATAGACTAGACTATAGACTAGACTATAGACTAGACTATAGACTAGACTATAGACTAGACTATAGACTAGACTATAGACTAGACTATAGACTAGACTATAGACTAGACTATAGACTAGACTATAGACTAGACTATAGATTAGACTATAGACTATACTATCGACTAGACTATAAATTAGACTCCACGATTATAGACTAAATTGTAGTGTAGACTACATACTACTCCAGAGTCTGACTGTATAATAAAATATTGCCTAGAATATAGACTAGAAACAATACAGCAGACTATAATATAGACTATACTGTATAGAAGGCTATAGCCTACACTATAGATTATACAATAGTCTAGATTTTAGATTAACTATACACTAGGCTATATATTAGTGTAAAGGTTAGATTATAGACCATATTATACAAATATTAGATTATAGGTTAGACTATAGAAAATCAACATAAATACATTAGTACTAAGTCTTAAATATAAAGTTAACTAAAGTTAACATAATTTTTGTTATAAATTAACTCAATAATTTGTTGAATAAAATTTCAATAATTCTTTCAATTTCTAAATAAAAACTACATTTACATAAATATGTATGCTCAAAAAATATATAATATATTTTGTTAAATATTATAAATATGTTAATTTTTTGTTAGTTAGTTCTATTTATATGCAAATTATATTTGCATATTTCTCACGTTTCAGCAAACGTTAATTTAGTAAAGATTTGTTTAAATATAAAAAGATAAAAGTGGTTAAGGAAAAGAAATAAAAGTTAAATTTTAAAAGATATTTCGAAAAAAAAAACTTTTCATATATAATGCGGCTTATAAGGCTTTTAGAAATCCCCTCATTTGTCCGCTGCTTTGCCTTTTGTCATCAAGTTTACATAAATTTTAGCCAAACAAAAGGCAAACGCATAAAACTTGTATGTTGAACAGTATCAGCCAAAAAGTGCCAGAGTAAACCTACCACAGTAGAATTGTCATAAGAGTTAAAATGTTGCGTCTCCGGTTTGAAACCAGCACAGATTTCATTAGTCCTATAGTCCGAGCGGGTTGTCATTAGTAATGGTTGACGATAGAGTTCATTAATGTCTTCTAGCGACATTTTACCATAATCACTATACTCTTCCTTATGAGCAAACCATTGACCCTGTTGCTGATATTGTTGACCATGTTTAGCACACTTTTGATTGACATTAATTTTAGCCATTAGCATTTGTTGCGGCAATGTAAGACGGGATTCTGTATTTATTTCATTATTCTTTTGTTGAAGACTATCACGCAAAGCTTCTTCACGATACTGTCTTTCCAGTTTGAGCAATTCATCTTCGACATTTAATGCCAAATTTTGGGTATGATTGTGCTGTTGCATAATATCCACGTGTGATGTAGTTGTGAGGGGAGTAGAACCATTTAGCTTAACACCAGCATCCATTACATCGGTTTCAGTAAGTAAATCCGTGTTATTCGTTGTTATTTGCGATGTACGTTGACGATGCAACGATGTACCAGGAATTTGTGCTGCCAAAAATAGTGCTCCTGCTATGGTTATAACACTGGCAGCATAACTGACTGCTATAACGGTTATGTTATTGAGTAAAAATTTGGCCAATGTGAATGAGGGCAACATTTGTATGAGTTCACTGTAAGTTAACCAACCACGACGTAGACCCTGTCTTCGTGCCAAAGTTTTCTCAATACTGGTAAGTTTTTCGAAAAATTGTTCGTTCGATATGTAGATGTTCCAATCCTGAAGGAAGAAATAATCAAGATTATAGTCTTGTTTAAACCATAGTCTCGTCTATAGTCTAGTTAATAGTCCAGTCTATAGTCTAGTCTATAGTCTAGTCTAGTCTAGTCAATAGTCTAATCAATAGTCTAATCTAGGCTATAGTCTAGTAAATAGTCTCGTCTATAGTCTAGTCTATAGTCAAGTCAATAGGCTTGTCTATAGTATAGTCTATAGTATAGTCTATAGTCTAGTCTATAGTCAAGTCTATAGTCTAGTCTATAGTCTAGCCTATAGTCTAGTCTATAGTCTAGTCTATAGTCTAGTCTATAGTCTAGTCTATAGTCTAGTCTATAGTCTAGTCTCTAGTCGAGCCTATAGTCTAGTCTATAGTCTAGTCTATAGTCTAGTCTATAGTCTAGTCTATAGTCTAGTCTATAGTCTAGTCTATAGTCTAGTCTATAGTCTAGTCTCTAGTCGAGCCTATAGTCTAGTCTATAGTCTAGTCTATAGTCTAGTCTATAGTCTAGTCTATAGTCTAGTCTATAGTCTAGTCTATAGTCTAGTCTATAGTCTAGTCTATAGTCTAGTCTATAGTCTAGTCTATAGTCTAGTCTATAGTCTAGTCTATAGTCTAGTCTATAGTCTAGTCTATAGTCTAGTCTATAGTCTAGTCTATAGTCTAGTCTATAGTCTAGTCTATAGTCTAGTCTATAGTCTAGTCTATAGTCTAGTCTATAGTCTAGTCTATAGTCTAGTCTATAGTCTAGTCTATAGTCTAGTCTATAGTCTAGTCTATAGTATAGTCTATAGCCTAGTCTATAGTCTAGTCTATAGTCTAGTCTATAGTCTAGTCTATAGTCTAGTCTATAGTCTAGTCTATAGTCTAGTCTATAGTCTAGTCTATAGTCTAGTCTATAGTCTAGTCTATAGTCTAGTCTACAGTCTAGTCTATAGTCTAGTCTATAGTCTAGTCTATAGTCTAGTCTATAGTCTAGTCTATAGTCTAGTCTATAGTCTAGTCTATAGTCTAGTCTATAGTCTGTCTATAGTCTAGTCTATAGTCTAGTCTATAGTCTAGTCTATAGTCTAGTCTATAGTCTAGTCTATAGTCTAGTCTATAGTCTAGTCTATAGTCTAGTCTATAGTCTAGTCTATAGTCTAGTCTATAGTCTAGTCTATAGTCTAGTCTATAGTCGTCTATAGTCTAGTCTATAGTCTAGTCTATAGTCTAGTCTATAGTCTAGTCTATAGTCTAGTCTATAGTCTAGTCTATAGTCTAGTCTATAGTCTAGTCTATAGTCTAGTCTATAGTCTAGTCTATAGTCTAGTCTATAGTCGAGCCTATAGTCTAGTCTATAGTCTAGTGTATAGTCGAGCCTATAGTCTAGTCTATAGTCTAGTCTATAGTGTAGTCTATAGTCTAGTCTATAGTGTAGTCTATAGTCTAGTCTATAGTCTAGTCTATAGTCTAGTCCATAGCCTAGTCTATAGTCTAGTCTATAGTCTAGTCTATAGTCTAGTCTATAGTCTAGTCTATAGTCTAGTCTATAGTCTAGACTATAGTCTAGTCTATAGTCTAGTCTATAGTCTAGTCTATAGTCTAGTCTATAGTCTAGTCTATAGTCTAGACTATAGTCTAGTCTATAGTCTAGTCTATAGTCTAGTCTATAGTCTAGTCTATAGTCTAGTCTATAGTCTAGTCTATAGTCTAGTCTATAGTCTAGTCTATAGTCTAGTCTATAGTCTAGTCTATAGTCTAGTCTATAGTCTAGTCTAGTCTAGTCTATAGTCTAGTCTATAGTCTAGTCTATAGTCTAGTCTAGTCTATAGTCTAGTCTATAGTCTAGTCTAATCTATAGTCTAGTCTAGTCTATAGTCTATAGTCTATAGCCTAGTCTATAGTCTAGTCTATAGTCTAGTCTATAGTCTAGTCTATAGTCTAGTCTATAGTCTAGTCTATAGTCTAGTCTATAGTCTAGTCTATAGTCTAGTCTATAGTCTAGTCTATAGTCTAGTCTATAGTCTAGTCTATAGTCTAGTCTATAGTCTAGTCTATAGTCTAGTCTATAGTCTAGTCTATAGTCTAGTCTATAGTCTAGTTATAGTCTAGTCTATAGTCTAGTCTATAGTCTAGTCTATAGTCTAGTCTATAGTCTAGTCTATAGTCTAGTCTATAGTCTATTCTATAGTTTAGTCTATAGTCTAGTCTATAGTCTAGTCTAGTCTATAGTCTAGTCTATAGTCTAGTCTATAGTCTAGTCTATAGTCTAGTCTATAGTCTAGTCTATAGTCTAGTCTATAGTCTAGTCTATAGTCTAGTCTATAGTCTAGTCTAGTCTAGTCTATAGTCTAGTCTATAGTCTAGTCTATAGTCTAGTCTATAGTCTAGTCTATAGTCTAGTCTATAGTCTAGTCTATAGTCTAGTCTATAGTCTAGTCTATAGTCTAGTCTATAGTCTAGTCTAGTCTATAGTCTAGTCTAGTCTATAGTCTAGTCTATAGTCTAGTCTATAGTCTAGTCTAGTCTATAGTCTAGTCTAATCTATAGTCTAGTCTAGTCTATAGTCTATAGTCTCTAGTCTCTAGTCTAGTCTCTAGTCTAGTCTATAGTCTAGTCTATAGTCTAGTCTATAGTCTAGTCTATAGTCTAGTCTATAGTCTAGTCTATAGTCTAGTCTATAGTCTAGTCTATAGTCTAGTCTATAGTCTAGTTAGTCTATAGTCTAGTCAATAGACTAATCTATAGTCTACAGAGAAGACTGAAGCCTAGATTGTAGACTGGGCTATAAACCAGACTATATACTGAACTTTATTATTAACTGGTCCATAGAATAGACAAAAGACCGGACAATAAAGAGATTAGACTGAACTCTCATTCTTCTTCAAATACTTACAATTGCGCATAAGAAATTTAACTCCAATTGCTTTAATTTATCCTCCGATATGTTACCGTATTCTGCCCAATCAGACATATAAATTTCCTCATCATAGCCAACATAGAATTTAGTGGAAATCATCTAAAAGCAACAAATAAGCGAAAAAATCAACAGGTTGTTTTGAAATAACAACAAAATCCCTAGCCCACCCTCTCACCATAGAAACAATAAACAATTCCTGCGGAGTTATACGTCTAACATAACCGGGATCGGTAACATTCAAACGATCCAAATAGATTAAGGCCATAATCAAAGTGGCCGGTGTGGCGGTTTGTAAACTAGAAGCCTCCACACAACTTAGACGATTCAACGTATAACCACGATGACTTTCACTAAACAGTTCAGAGGCATATTCCGCCAAGGGTTTAGACATTTCCAAGGCAGGCCCCACGTTATCGTTGTCATCATCGCTATCAAGGAAATCATTGCCGAAATATAAAGTTTTATTTATACGTTTCATAAACTCATCGTGCGAGAGAACCTGTGGAGGGAATGACAAGAAAATAATTGATAAGAAACATAATAAATTATTACAGTATCAAAAGTGCATTCATTCTACCGTGCGATAACATTATCTAATTATTTATAAACAAAAACAAATAATAATGCACAATACACATATAAAATCTTTTATTTTAATATCACACCATGTTGGTTGGTCTATTTTACTTATTTTTCCTTTCTTTTTGATTACCTTTTTTGTAGTTTTTGTTGGCGTAGCTGAGGTTTTAATGACGCATCCCTGCTTGCGCCCCATTGTGATGGAATTGTTTTAAGCACAATTTTCAACCAAAAAAACGAGAAAATATTGCACCTTCCAACACTTTGAACTAAAATTTAATAAACACAATTAAAACTTTATTTATTAAAAAAGTAATTGTTTCATTTAAAACCTTTTTACTACGGCAAATTTAACAATTATTTACAAAAAAAATTTATGACACAATTTTAGTGGAGAACGAACAACAATAGAACACGCGAAATCAAAAACTTTTATTCTAAATACCAAAGAGGGTGTGTAAATAACAAAGCGAATGTAACAAAAATTTTCTCACTCATTTAAAGAGAACCTAAAAAAATACTCTTTTTGTTAGCAGGGTTGTTTCGTACTATATATTAAAAAATAAAATTTGTTTTTGTTTAAAATATTAGCAATTTTACAGACTATAGACTAGAGTATAGACTAGACTATAGACTAGACTATAGACTAGATTATACACTAGACTATAGACTAGACTATAGACTAGACTAGACTATAGAATAGACTATAGACTAGACTATAGACTAAACTATAGATTAGACTATAGACTAGACTATAGACTAGACTATAGACTAGACTATAGACTAGACTATAGACTAGACTATAGACTAGACTATAGACTAGACTATAGACTAGACTATAGACTAGACTATAGACTAGACTATAGACTAGACTATAAACTAGACTATAGACTAGACTATAGACTAGACTATAGACTAGACTATAGACTAGACTATAGACTAGACTATAGACTAGACTATAGACTAGACTATAGACAAGACTATAGACTAGACTATAGACTAGACTATAGACTAGACTATAGACTAGACTATAGACTAGACTATAGACTAGACTATAGACTAGACTATAGACTAGACTATAGACTAGACTATAGACTAGACTATAGACTAGACTAGACTATAGACTAGACTATAGACTAGACTATAGACTAGACTATAGACTAGACTATAGACTAGACTATAGACTAGACTATAGACTAGACTATAGACTAGACTAGACTATAGACTAGACTATAGACTAGACTATAGACTAGACTATAGACTAGACTATAGACTAGACTATAGACTAGACTATAGACTAGACTATAGACTAGACTATAGACTAGACTATAGACTAGACTATAGACTAGACTATAGACTAGACTATAGACTAGACTATAGACTAGACTATAGACTAGACTATAGACTAGACTATAGACTAGACTATAGACTAGACTATAGACTACACTATAGACTAGACTATAGACTAGACTATAGACTAGTCTATAGACTAGACTATAGACTAGACTATAGACTAGACTAAAGACCAGACTAGTGGTTGGTGCTCTAATATGCTTTACCGGAGATGGTGGGTTCGATTCCCACCTGAGGCTCTGATTAAGGAGAGCACAACAGGTCCGACAGAGGCCTGGGTGTATTTCTTCGGATTTGATGTAAGGTAAGTTTTGAGAGGGGTAATAAAAATACGTTTTTGCTTTCCATACAGAGTGAGTCTAGACTAGAAAGGTGCTATCTAGTCTTTAAGTTTACATGGAAATACTTGTTGGAGTGGAAAGTTTTACTAGCAAACTGTTTGTTAGTTGTACATCAGGATTTTCAAACAATGTTGCCAGAGGTGTAACAGTTTTAACAATATTTTTGACAAATAGAGGGAGCTTTTCGTTGTTTTAATGTGATTTCCAATTTTATCTTTGAAGATATGAAAACATTACTATTAAATATCTTGTTTATGACTTTAGTTTTAATAAAAAAAGAAAAAAATCACATTATTTTTAGTTAGATTTTCTATTTTCCTTGTTTTTCTTCTACCATGCATTAGTTTGATCATCATAACATAAATTGTTCTAAATATTTTAAAGCTTTACTCTTAAATTATATAAGGAAACAGCTGCTGGAGGGGAAAGAAAAACAGATTTTGTTGTTTTTTGGTTGGTTTTGGTTACTTAAATTATTTTTTGTTTTATATAAAGTACACAATACACATATTGTTTAGCCATTTGCTAGCAAATTGGTAAAAACAATTTGGAATAATTTACTTCCATCTCTTGTTTTCGTAGTCCCATTTGGAGGAGATACCAGTGACAGGGTTCATTTCCAAATCCAACATACGTTTCAATTGAGCCTTTTGGTGCTCTTCATCGAAGGTAACGGGCATTTCATCGTAGACTATAAAGAACATTTAATTTATAAATAGATGATACTACTAGAGGACTTGTTTCAAAAAAACCTACCAAAGGTGTTCATGAAAATGGCAACCCAAAGAGCCAAGGTGGTGAAAATCAAACCCATACCCAAGTGCATTTTCCATTCACCGGTACCGGCCTTCATTTCGGCGAAAGTTTGGCAGAAACTGGCACGGTATAAGGCTTTCTTTTCCTCCATGCTCAATTTCTTCCAATCTTGCTTCTCCTTTTCGCGCAAAGCATTGATTTCATTGGTGGCCTCACGGAAACGAATGGCAGGCATAGGATAATCGACACGATCGGCATAACAGGCAGTGCCGTTCCAGCCATAGCCTACGATTTCACGTTTGCCAATCTTGTCCAAAGTGTGGACAGAGGCTACGCTGCCGACTTGGGCATTGCGGGGCAATTGAGCCAATTGGCGACGCAAAGCCATATTAAGAACACGTAGAGCCATAGTGGATAGAAATCTAAAAAAATAAAGCATTAAACAAATTAATACAAGATTTTCCAATATTGTTAAGAAATGACGCAGGCTCTTGTCATTTTCAATACAATAATAGGTTATGTAACCTTTAGCAGAAAAAAACTTCAGACAAATTACAATTTTTTTATTTTTATTGAAATATCAATAAAAATTTTGTTTTCTAACTTTATATAAAATTTAATTTTATATTTTTAATATATTCTTTTAAATTTACTATTAATTTATTAAAATATTCACGTTTTTTCTCCAACAGTATGTTTTGCCAAAGGTTACACAACCACTTTTCAGAACAAATCAATAATTGTAATAAAAATTACTAAATTTTTTAACAATTTACTAGTTTATTAAGAAATTAATGCAATTATTCAAATAATTTTATTGTAATTTATTATTATTTTAATAAATTTATTTAATTTTTCTTTAAAAAAATTACTGAAAACCGAACTCACTTTTCACTCGCTGCTAGTAAACTACTATAAAGACCTGCGTCGGTTCGCCATCAAGCCGACTAAACTTAGCCGTCGAATAAATTTCAGAAACGCCGCCGAAAATTTTTTACTTTAAGGCGGCTTGAAATCTTTTACTATATTTTGCTGAACATTTTCACTATTTTCTTTATTGATTTTTTACAAATTCAAACCAAGCTCTTGGGGCCAAACCAAAACCCTTGGGTCCAAATATGAAATCTTACATACTACTCAATAACAATACTTCTTAAAGATATTTAAATACTTTAAATTGTGACAAAATAATACAAATTAAAGTATGGTGTAATTTCATAAAATCTCGAAACAAAAATTGGGATTTTGATTTCGACGAAATTCGGTACATGCTTACGAAATTTAAAAAATCACCAAAATTTTCAAATTCGGTACGATTTGTAAAACAGCAATCAGGGTGACTGCATACAAGGTGACATCACTTGCACAGCTGATCACTGTTTACAATTTTTTATACATAGACTTGTATACTGGCTTAAACCGCACGTTTGTCAAACTGTATATAACAAAATTTGACAATCTCTCAAGTGCTTGTACCTTGTTAAGTATACCGTGGCAGCAATATGTTTTGGTGCCATCGTGTTGACGCTGACTACACACCAAACAAATATTGTTTGACGCTGTAGTAGCGAATACGAAAGCAGATGAGAGTAGTTGCAAAAAAGAGTAGTATCAAAAATTGGTAGTAGTCGAGGAATGAAGTTTGTAAAATTTGTAAAAAATAAATAATTTAAGTAAGTGAAGGATAAATATGCATAAAATAAAAAAAGGAATAATATAATATATGAATTTTCATTTACATTTAGATTTTATTAACAAAATACATATGTATATCTTTTACATTAATTTTAAGGTAATTTTTAAAATAACGGCCCTCGAAATAAACTAGAGTTGCCTTATTGAAAAATTATTAAATATGAATATGTAGTTTAACTGTGCCTTAAAAATTGTTTTACAAAATTATGTATATTTTGTCGTGTGCACCCTGTAATAGAGCTACTGAATAGAAGAAGAAGAAACTTAAACAGGTGGCAACACAATGAAAAAGGGATTTTTTTTTTTTGGAAAGAAGAAGATGAATAAAAACAAAAACAAATAGCTTTAGGAAAAAATTTTATGTAGGCAAACAAATTGCTGAAAATTTGTTGAAGCCATATTGGTAACCGAGGTTTCTAGATGCCAAAAGGAAAAAATGTCGGTCCTTTTTGATTTTTGCTCGGAGAGAAGAAGAAGGTGGAGTCTGTGGCCATCATAAAAAAAAAAACTAAATTTTTGATTTTTTAAACTAAATAAATTTTATTAAAGAATTTAAACTTAACGCTAAACTTAAAGCTAAGCTTAAAGCTAAACTTAAAACTAAATTTTAAAATATAAAAATAAAAGAAAAATAAACAAACCTGCAAGCCACTGCAACACGACTCCATCCAACGAGGGAGAAGCTGCTTTTCAGCACCACCACGCCTGGGGTGCTCTGGTATCAGTTTTTGGTTTTCCGACTAAGTGATAGTTTTTACCTGGACGACAAGACGGACGTACAATATTCCTTTTCTTTATATAAAAAAAATTTTATTAGTTAGGGCAAGATATCTTTATTCTTGAGGAATCCTTACCTCGTATTGCTTGACCGCCGCCATCCCGCGTGAAATCCTCATTTCAACCACGCGTGCGCGAACATTAGGGTAGAGCTCTGGCCTAGAATTATAGTAGTTTTCGGTGTTTGAGTCCTAGGTTTCCGGTAATAAAGGTAGTTTCCCTGAAAATAAATAAAGAAAATAAATTAAAGGAATAAGGTAAAAATAGATAATATTTTGTTTACTTACCTGGTTTACCCGAACGGACCTTAATACGGACGGACAGGAAAGCCTTCTCCGCCAAAAGAACTCTTCTCAACCTGTAATTGCCTCCAGTAAACCAGTCAGTTGCCGCAGCGAAATAATTGCCAAATCCCGTTTATCCCCAAGCGAAATCAGGAACTTTTAAAAAACGTAAACGTAAAATTTGAAAATATAAATTTAAACCTAAATCAAAATCTAAAACTAAATCTAAATTTTAAATTCTAAAACATAAATTTAAAACTTAAATCTTAAACTAAAGCTAAATCTAAATTTAAATTTTAAATTCTAAATTTTAAAACCTAAATCTTAACCTAAAACTAAATCTAAATTCAAAATATTAAAACTAAATCTAAACTAAATTTTAAATCAAAACCTAGTATTGTTAAATATTGTTTGGAGTAATTTTGTTTCAATAAAACTAAACCTTATTATAATGTTTGACTGAAAATTTCGAATTAGTTATCATTTAAAATGATCGGTTAAATAACATAAGCGGCGGTAAGTAGGGAAGGTGAATGTTTGCAGGATAAAATTTTGGGACATCCCTAATATTAGGATGTCATGGCGGGGTTATCCACTCCCGAGTGGGAGGGTTTATACTGGCACAACATCTGCCAGCCGTTATAGGTCGTAGGTACGTTTCAGCAGGGAGACAGACAGAAACCTACTCGGTGCCCATTTATATTTATTTCGTTTATTTCTTTTAGCTGGTATGATTTTTATGTGTGTGTGTAGGTGTCTAGAGTGGTAGCAAGAACCACCCCCATCCGGCGAGCTCCAAGCCCGGCGAACGCGAGCATACCAGCGCCGCTACCACTCTGGCAACACTAGTTTCTTTTATTTTGTTTTGGTATGGTTATACCATACCAAACATATACAACCACTACACTACATAAATGGCGCCCAACGTGGGGCCCGAATAGGTCCATAGCCTGATCTTTTATTAGTTTATCTATTATCCTATTTAGTCATGACAACGTAAGTCCTGTTAGGTCATACCTAGAGTCCCTAATTGTTGCGACGTCGTCGGACGAAATAGTAAATTTAGTTTTTACTTTTCTCCATTTCAATAGATGGGAAGCTATAATTGTGCATGGTCAATATTGTACACACTTACGTAAGTCCCGGACAACAGGACAATTTTAGTCTAGTTCGCGTTGCGACGTGTGGTGTGAACAATATGGTCATGCAGAATTATAGATTCTTCAGCCTATCCTTTCCAAACAATTTGAGGCTCTCAGAATAGCTTTCCATAGCAAATCTGAGAATGCTCAAGTGGTGAAGAAAGAATAGCTAAGGCCAGCCCCCTTTTCAACAATAATCCTAATGGTATTTGTGTGAAAAAAAAAAACGTATGTTTTGGTCCTCAGTAAAGGGATTAGAGTAGTCCTAGGAGTTGTAGGATAGCCAACCAAAATTCTAGCTGCACTCTAATCTGGAGCTGTTGGAAACTAATGCCATGTTTTTTTTCTGCCCATTTAAATTTCATTTAATGTCTGCATCTCCTGAAATCAAATTAGAAAAGAAACAATTAGAGACGTATCTACGAACAATAATACATTTTTACATTACCTGCAAACTTTACTTTCCTGAAATACACCGCCGATAGTAAGATTTTATTTAATTTGAGATTTCAAGATTTATCTTTGGTTCTTTTGGATTTGGATTTTGAGTTTTTTTGTGGAACGTTTTAGCTTTGTCGTTACGAACGTTTTGGATTTAGTTTTTGAATCTTTACTTCCTTTCTTTAGAATTGATTTTTTTGTTTCCTTTGGAAAAGAGGAATTTCTTTTAAAGTGGTTGCTTAATATTTATCATAGAGGTAAATAGTTATTTTTTTACTAGCGGTCTATTATACAGATCATCAATTTTGTCGTTTTATCATTTGGTGTGAGTTGTGATTGTATCATTTGGTCATTCCGCGTACTGTCTGCTAGGAATGGTTTTAACTCGCTCAGCTAGAAGTCGTTCGCAAGCTGACAATAGAAACACTCCCAATATGGAGAACGTTAATAGGACCACGGTATTAACTGTAGTTTCCACTTCGCACCCGACGTATACTATCGCCAGTACCAGTGCTACTACAACCACTACCACGTCGTCCGTTACGCCAGCAGTCCAGCAATTTATGACAATGGCCCATGAACGTTCTGGCTTTCATAATGAATCGGCCATTTCAAATAGCACGATTACATCGCCTGACTACAGCAGTATCACCGCCAGGAATGTGCAACAAGAGTTCCGAGCAAATGTCCCGCCAACAGCTCCTCAACCTGTTAACATCGTCACCACAGGAGGCGATATGTTTACTTTTGTGCGGGAGGAATTGCAACGACAAATACGGCAGTTGCGAACCGAATTGCAACAGGAATTCGGCAATGCTGCTGCTCCAGCTAATCCGCCGATATCGGTCCTTCAACCAACGGAGCCGCGAACACCTGTTCGGCAGCCAAATGCAGTGTTTAACCATCAGCCTGTAGAGCAGCAACCACCTGTTAGGCAAGGAAACAATTTAGTAACGAATCAACTACATCAACCTCAATTGTACATACCTGCTAGTAATTACCAGTTGCAAAATGATTTTCAACCATTCCAAGGACAAGCAGCTAACGCACAGTCGCATTATGTACCACCAAATGCAAATCCAGTTTTTCCAGCACCAATTCAATCCTCACAAGCTCCAAGTTGGCCTACTGACGGCGCATTCGCCGTTCAAAGAAAGGTGGATTTGTCCAAATGGGGCATTAAGTTCGACGGAACCTCGAAGTCCATGAGTGCTGAAGATTTCATTTTTCGAGTAGACGTTCTAAGACAGGACTACAACTGCGCGTTCAATGACGTCCTACGAGGTTTTCATCATCTGCTAGAAGGCCAGGCGCTGGACTGGTATTGGAACCTACGTAAGTTAAGACCAATACAGTCCTGGGATGAGTTGGTGGGAGCATTCCTTACCCAGTTCCGAAGATTTGAGAACGAGTTCCAGTTACAAAAACAAATTATGGATCGTCGCCAAATGCCGATGGAAAGCTTTGAAAGTTTTTACAATGGTGTGATGAAGCTAAGAAATCAACAGCGAAACCCCTATTCTGAACGAGACCTAGTGGAGATTATGAAAAGTAATCTAAAGCCGTCATTGTCACATCTACTATTTTCCGTGACCACTTCTAGTCTCAATGAGTTCTGTCAACAGGCGAAAAGAGCTGAAAGTTTAATCACCAGTCAGAGGCAGACTTTCCAGTCTAGACAA